TATATATATATATATGGGCAATTTGAATTTGTGTGTGGATTTCAATATTATCTCTGAAGGTTTTTTTTTTCTCAGACACACAGTGTTTGTGGCGTATGAATAAATAACACATTTATGACATGAATCATATGTTATGAATGTATATGTCATAAATTTATATTATATTATTATATGTGTGATTACTGATCATGATTGTTGTTATTTGAGAAATGTCAGAATTATTGCACTTTCACCTAAAAGCACAAAGAATGACAACTCTTATGGTTATTTTATCTCACATAGTTTTCTGATTTATTATCATATAAATTAACATACTGTCAACTTAATGAAAACTTAAAAGCTTTTCTTAAAAGTTAAAACTGTGAAATTCCTTATATTAATTACAAACTATACTCATGTTTTGCTATTAAAACAACAAAAAAAGTCTGTCGAACAGAGGTAGGTGCACTTATACAGCAAACACATCCATGTTTAGATTTATTAAAGTTTGCCACTAAGAAAGACTGATAGCAGATTTGCAGAGAAAACAGTGCAAACAGCAATGTGAAGGAACACAGACTAGCTGATCACTAAAGTCCAACTTGTCTATGTTTTTACCTCATCAGCACTTTTTCTGCATTGTACAAAGAACGTATACACGTGGTTGCCAGGTTGTGAATATAAAGTAAAACACGGGGAAAAAAATATGTCCTTTTAAACTATTTGGAAACCCCAACCATGAAAAACTTTTTTAAACTATAAGCTTTTTAAACTATAGGCATAGTTATTGTTTTATGGTGTCAGTGTCATCTCATCTTATCTTAGTCATGAAAAAAAAAAGATGTCAACAAATATTTTTCGTTAACAAAATTAACACTACACTGAAAGTGGCAGAAACACTGTCAGCCTGTTGTATGCATTATGTGAATGTTTTCTACTGCCTCAAACTTTATGATGTAAGACAAAGAAAAATGCCATTTAACCAACTTTGTAAGGCTCACCTCGGGCTGCTTTAACGTTAAATCTTAATCTTCGCAAAGCTTCAGCAGTATCAAAATTACATTTCACCAACTCATATAATGCCTGAGGGGAGTAAACAATTTGTATTGTGTATTAAGTCACAAATCAGCATTTGATTACAAATAAAATGATTAAATTATTATTATTATTAACAATATTAAATCGTAGAGGCAGTTGTTTAGTACCTGCTCATTGTCTTTGATGTGGGATCCTTCTGGAATAGCATCTACTCCAGTCTCCTCTCCCGTCCGTCGACATGCTTCTGTCAGAAACTCAACCACCTTGTTTTCAGTAAGAATTTCAGGATTCCACAGCAGCTGGTCATCATTTTCATACACTGTGAATGATGGAGTCACAGATTCAAAGCATATCACAAGAGTATAACTTATTGATGCCTCCAAAAATGTAAACCATTTCCGTATGTGAAATCAAGAACATTAAGAGATTAGAATTACAGTCATGCAATTAAAAGAACATATAATAATTGAAGAGTTATAAAAATGACATCATACTATGACTGATGCAGTTCTCATTTCATTAGTGCCAGCAAAAACCTTCCGGTTTAAATATTTCTAGTCAGTGTTTCCTAAAGGATTCAATAATTGGTCCCAACTGTTTTTGTAACCCAATGTAATACTACAAAAAAAAAAAGGCCTCATGCACATGTTTGCAAAACATGCAACTGCACATTGTCATATGAACAACCAGAAATATTTATTTTCCTGTGGTGCAGTATAATTCTACCAAACTGATATTTTAATTGATCAACATAAGTCAAATATACCTTTCTCATTGTCTTTGTATTTGCACAGTTCAGATGGTGTTTCAGCCTGATACATGGAGCCAACCATAATTTCCTGTTAAGAACATACACGTCAAACATTTCATGGGAAATTACAGACAAAAAGCATGAAGAAAACTATACTGATGAAAGAGTGTTTACTTTTTTCCAGTCTTCAGAGGGAATATAGTCATCATCCTCCTCTGACTCTTCATCTACTTCATTATCTAAAAATTAAACGTCAAAACAGTGCTTAAGCAAACTTACAGGTGCATCTCAATAAATTAGAATGTCATGGAAAAGTTCATGTCAGTAATTCAACTCAAATTGTGAAACTCATGTATTAAATAAATTCAATGCACACAGACTGAAGTAGTTTTAGTCTTTAGTTCTTTTAATTGTGATGATTTTGGCTCACATTTAACAAAAACCCACCAATTCACTATCTCAACAAATTAGAATACTTCATAAGACCAATAAAAAAAACATTTTTAGTGAATTGTTGGCCTTCTGGAACTTTTCCACGACATTCTAATTTATTGAGATGCACCTGTATACGGGGGTGATAAATACTGAATAAAATGCAGAGAGCAGTATCAAGTGGAGCTTGTCTGTCTCTTACTCTGAAAGTATCCATGGTTCTGTGAACATATGAGTTCAGCTGTTTTACAGGCTGTCACTGCACAAACTCGACTGTCAGTGGAGTAGCTCTCATTTACCATTCCTGTGGATACCTTTGCTTCATCCTCCTGAAAAAAAAGAATAATTTAAACGCAGTTCTAACCCCTTAACTGTCACCGTCCCATCAATGGGACGCCTACGTTTATTTCACTATATTACATTTAAATCAAAATCTAATCAGTAATCATAACAAACTATATATATTATTGGAATGGTCTAAGACTCCTAAATAGATATTTCACCAGTTTTTTGTTACAAATTATGTAAGAACAGCAATAGATCAATTTATGACAAGAGTGCACCTCAAAAAAAAATCACAATCACAATCAATAACAGGAGTTCTGACCTTTGTCACAAAAAGTTTTTCTTTTTTGTTGCCTTTTTCTCTATCAAATGTTTTAGTAATCATCATAAATTATATATCATTTGAAAGATTAAAACCTCAAAATCCTGTTGAAACCATTTTGAAATCGTTACCATGGAAATGGTACTTCAAAATCTTTTTGAGGTCTCCTCCCCCTTATGATGGGTGACATATTACAAAACTTTTTAAAAATCTTTATAATCAAAACTTTTTATAATCTTGACAAAATACATATCGTTTGAAAGGTCTGAGTTTCACGATTACACATTTGGTGGTTACTTTGTGATAGAAATAATATTGAGAGAGAAATGTCTACATTTGAAAAATGCATTAAAAAAAAAATCAATGGAGTTTGGGTGTCACCTGGTGGCTTTTTTAGTATAACACCTAAACAAAATTGCATAGGAACCTTTTTTTTTTTTATGAGCTTTAACTTTATAGCAATTCTGGATTAAAAACTGTTTTGTAAAATATTTTATATAAAATAAAATAAAAATAGTACAGTACATTGTTTTACAGTAAATATAAACTTAAAACTAACTTTTTTATACTTTCATTTTTTTAAATGAATAATAAGCAATAAATAAACAATCTGCTGATTGTTCTTCTTTAAAAAGAGACCAACCTTAGGCCTGTATTCAAAAGTGTTCATGAATTATAACAATTTAAGTTTGGATAGTGCACTTTCAAGTCTATGTTCAAAAATAGGGGTGACAGTTAAGGGGCTAAAATGCTTTCCCATAAATTTGACAGCTAGAAAAAGTGCATCTGGTAGGGTGGCCATAGTAGTTGGTGTTATCTGTGTTAAACCATGTTTGGCCATTATTACATTACTTATGTATTCATGTCTCTAGTCCAAAAACCCGCTTCTTTCCTCTTTTTATTTCCGCTAAAATTTATTGATTGAAAAAAATCACTTCAGAGGTTGAATCTTAAGGTTTATGGTTTTCAAATGCTATATAGTTTATGAAGATTAACTGCTTATTTGATATAAAACAAAGCGATTGTCCACCGGTAGTACAGTGCGGGTTAAGGGGCTTAACCATCAACATACCTTGTTCCAAATATAGTTGAATATTGAATGGACCACAAGAGCGCATACACTGTCTGTTGTCATTTACATATCTATGATATATAAGCTACACCTATAAGCAAACATTACCAAAAAAAAAAAAAAAAGGGAAAGTTCCCTTAATCTACTCCTTTTGTACGGAGCAGCTAAAGGACTTTTATTTTGAAATGAACAACACACAAATCGGACTGTATAAATCGCGACCCATTTCCGCCATTTGGGTGTGTGTGCACGCTTTGTGAAGGACGCAGCCTGCAGTTTGTGGCGTGTTTCTCTTCCTTTTATTGTACTTGTGCATCTCACTGAAAAGGGTAATAAGGTAAATGATTTTGTACATTGTATGATGCGTAATGTAATGTCCGGTTTCGTATTTGGTTTATGTATTGTTTGTTTTTGTTTTTTGTGTTCGTAGTTCTTACGGTGTCTACTTGAATGTCAACGGATTAAACATTTTCGGAAACATCAGTTAAGGAGCACTGACCATCATTTCAGTGGGGTAGCAACAGTAAGAACTTAACCATTCGTCGTCGAAGCCTGCTGCATTGATGACCGGTGTCCACGCTGACGGGTCTTTAAGGAGTGAGCATTCACGGGCAGCGGATCGATTTCTGATGGTCAAATGAGGTTCGTTTATGGATAGCTACGGCTGAAACGGAGGATTAACCGACACACTACGGACTGTGAAAGGCTGTGTTCTTCAGGTGACGTTTATTCTTCGATACACGGCAAACGGATAGCAAGGTGAAACACTTGACCAACGAAAAACATTCCCTTAAAGGTTTAAAAGGAAAAAAAAAAGGGTTTGAACATTTTCAGTGACCTTGGAAGAGACTGTTAAATCGTTTGTTGTTTTGAAGACAATATATTTGTGTTTTAAGATAAATATTTGTCAATTCAAAAAGGGTATTTTTAAAATACTGTTGTTGCTAATGTTTGAGACTACATGTCATTTATACTGTTTGGGAATTTAAACTATAATAGTGCTGGACATATTTTATAGTTGTGTGTTTATTAGTCATTTTTAAAATGACAGAGTTAAATTCTTCTTTTGATACTGCAGATTGTGAAAGGCATGTTAATAGTCTCCAACATGATATTGAAACCCTTAACAATGAGTATCAAACATCAGCAGATGGTTTAGAGAGACAACAGATAATGGAGACAATTGAGGCTAAAGAACAAATTCTGAGTGAACTTAAGTGTAAACTTAAAGAAACTTTAGAAGAATCTCAAGCTCCCCGACGTTCTGTTCGTCCACGTTATCTTACTCCAAAAATGCTTGCATTACAAAAGGAAGAAATTCAAAGGAAAGAAAGCAAGCTCCTCTCCATGTATGAAAAATGGAAAATGTTAGCACGTAAGGCCAGAGATCAACTTAAGTTTGATATTGCTGAAAGCCAGTTAGCATCTCTTATTGATACCCTGGAAGAGGAAAAGGAGAATGTTATGCATCTATATGTTGAGGTTAGAGACCATATCACACCATCTACTGAATTGAGACGCCGTATTGATGCTTGTGAGGCAGTGACAACAGATATAATTAAGATTGCTTATGAAAGAATATCAGGTATTGATGAATTTGATGCAGATCAAGTAAAACATCGTTTAAAAGAACTGCTTGAATCTAGTTATGCTCGTTCTATCTATGGTTCCACTGTTTCCCGAATTAGTCACAAGTCTACTGCTCAGTTAAGTCATCATACTGCATCTTCACTTGGAACTTCAAAACAAGCTGAAGCAGCTGCAGAGCTGGCAGCAAAAGAAGTTGAGTATAATATACTAATGGAGGAAAATTCAAGAATTGAGAGACAAACAAGAGAGAGACTTGAATGTTCAAAAACGTGAATTGGAGAAGTTACAGGCAGAAAAGGATTTAAGAGTAGCACAAGCTAGGTTTGAGGCCTATAATCGGATGGCAGTGCAAGAAGTTGATAATCCTGCAACAAACTATATTGTTAGAGAACCGCATTGCTTGCCTCAGTTCTTTCAGCCAACCTGCAAATAAACTAATTTCTTCATCTCAAAATGAACTGCCTTCTCTCGTGCAAGCCATGCAAGACAGTATAAATTTGAACAGATTGCCAGCTCCAGAGCCCTTTGTATTTAACGGTGATCCCATTCAGTATGTCGAGTGGAAGGCTTCCTTTATGTCACTGATTGATCGAAAGAGTATATCTGCTGCTGACAAACTTTATTATCTGAAAAGGTATGTGGGTGGATCGGCACGCAAAGCTTTGGATGGTACCTTCTACAGGAGTGACAACGAAGCATATAAGGATGCCTGGAGCAGATTAGATCAAAGGTATGGTCAACCATTTGTGATACAACGTGCCTTTCGACAGAGGCTTGCAAATTGGCCTAAAATTCAGTCAAGGGATGCTGTTGGGCTCAGAGAGTTTTCAGATTTTCTTAATGCATGTCAAGATGCCATGCCTCATGTTGCAAGTCTACAAATTTTAAATGACTGGGAGGAAAACCAAAGGTTAGTTCAAAAACTTCCTGAATGGGCTGCTTCACGTTGGAATCGACAGGTTACACAAACCTTGAGAGACAATAAGGATTTCCCTGACTTTAAGGCCTTTGCAGCATTTGTTTCATTAGAGGCAGAGATTGGTTGTAATCCGGTCACGTCATCTTATGCTCTCAATTTAGCATCTGCTGAGAAACGAAATTTCAGAGAGTCTAAAGGAAATAAGATTAATGTCCTTAATACTCAAACCGACTTGGGGCCCAATAGACAAAAGAGCATAAGGAAAAATACCAAACCTCCCTGTGTGTTTTGTCAAGATCCTAAACATCAGCTTTACGATTGTTCCAAACTGATGGCCAAGACACTATTAGAACGGCGGGAATACGTGAAGGAAAATAATCTTTGTTATGGATGCCTGAAAACTGGCCATAGTGTAAGAGACTGTCGCCATCGTCTTTTCAGTAACATATGCAAAGGGAGAAATCCTACTTGCTTTCATGACGACAATTACATCAAAAGAGAAAGGTCACTCCCTGTAACAACATCCGATTCAAGGTCCAATGACTCGACAGCTGCTGTGTCCTTAAGTGTGTCCGGAAGGGGATCATCCTATACATCAATGGTCGTACCAGTATGGGTATCATCAAGCAAAGATGTGAGTACAGAAAAATTAGTTTATGCCTTGCTCGATTCACAAAGTGATACAACCTTTATTGATCAAGAAGTGAGCAATGTCTTGCAGGCAGACAAATCTCCTGTAAAGTTAAAACTGACTACCATGTCTGGAAAGGATACTATAGTGAAGAGTGAAAGGATTTCAGGACTTCATGTAAGAGGTTACAGCTCTGCCACTTACAGGTGCATCTCAATAAATTAGAATGTCGTGGAAAAGTTCATTTATTTCAGTAATTCAACTCAAATTGTGAAACTCATGTATTAAATAAATTCAATGCACACAGACTGAAGTAGTTTAAGTCTTTGGTTCTTTTAATTGTGATGATTTTGGCTCACATTTAACAAAAACCAACCAATTCACTATCTTAACAAATTAGAATATGGTGACATGCCAATCAGCTAATCAACTCAAAACACCTGCAAAGGTTTCCTGAGCCTTCAAAATGGTCTCTCAGTTTGGTTCACTAGGCTAGGACAATCATTGACA